TGCCTTTGAGTCCTGCTTAGGACCATGCAAGCAACAGCTTTGAGGTGTCATCAATTTCAACTTCACCTCAGAAACTTCCTGAACTTTTCGCTTCCATGTATATTTTTTTAACATGCAAAAAAGCCATTCTTTATTTCTCGAGTCTAAATTCCAGGGTTCGCGACCAACTCAGACACTTTCTCAGTTAAAACGGCCGGCACCCATCGAGACTCCAACACGTTTCTGATGCCAAAAATCCAATAGCTAGCTTAGAATGATGTGTCATACTAGAGTGCTTAAAGGCTAAAATACTTTCTGAGCATTTTTTTCTTTTTATTTTTGTATTTTCCTGACAAGGACAAGAAGAACTTCTTCTTGGAGAAGCTTGTGCAATTCCAGTGATTTGTATTGCTACGTTTATAAAAGCTGCTCACATTATTTTTATAACAGTCAATTTGTTTTACTGCCAAAGGTATACAAATAGAATAAATCATTTCTAATCAACTCTTTACGTAAGAAACATGCGCACCCCGAAGAAAGGAGAATTCAAGCGCGTACCTGCTATGAACTTGTTGATTAATCGCCCTGTTTACCAACAAACAGTGCAAGCAAACACCACTCCAATATATCCTGGAAAATAGAAATGTTGAGAATTAAAGGAAAGCAGCAAGTATGACAAGCTCATATCTTGTTTTCCAGAATGAGCAAGTTTGAAAACTCATTACCATGCTGAGAAGTTCTCGTATGACTGGATCCAATTTAACGTTCTTCGCTCCGCTCACTTGAAGGCAGTGGGCACAATGGCTGAGGGCGGGCGGTTACTGCCACTGTCGTTGGTGGAAGGGCTGCGAGAGGGCGTTCGGTCCCACCCACTCAGCCCTTCCACCAGTGACGTTGGCAATAACCGCCCGCCTGCGGTCATCGTGCCCACTGCCCTTAACTAACTATAGAAGGGCTATAATTTGCTTATCTTCTTGTTGGAGGGGAGCCTTATCACTGAAAGGTTTAATGAATGGAGTGAAAAACGGGTGTGTGTTCACTACAGTCCTAGGAACCAGGCACGATTCCATTAGTCCCCCTCGCGTGCCCGAGTGACACACTGGGTTCCTTCTACCGGATTTATACGAAAATTCTCGTTTCCAGTCATCAAGCTGTGAAAGAAGCCTGGTTCTCTGATGGTTGACATGATGTTTTCTGGTCGACCTTAGAAATTCAGCCGTGCACCGCTCTCATTGAAGGGACACTTTCAAACAGCATATTAAAGGCAGTTGGCACGATAAATCCCTAAGACGAGTAGGATTAATACGTCTGGCAGGACGGAATTCCGCGCCCCTGAGCAGGCGCTGCGTAGCGCCTTTTTCAAAGGTACCTTTATAAGGCCCTATCAAGCTGCAACATACCGACCCGGACACCCACCGCGCCCGCCCGCCCACAAAAGAACGACCTTACCTGATGCTCGTATTGCTTCATTTGCCAGGTAAAATATGAAGCGAAGGGATTGATATGAAGCGGCCGCGCTGCTGCATGGATATATGAGTACATAAGTGCAGCCCTATTTATCGCAGCGGTCATCGGCACGATGCCTACGGGGAACTCGTCCGAAAGTACTCCTGAGTCTTAAAGGCAGTTGGCACGATGGTTTCCCACTCGGCCTAAAATGCTAGTAGGGCGCTATGTAGTGGGGAAATGGCGAAAGAACGGAGTGAAACGGTCAAAATCCTGCGAAAAAAAGCCCTCTCATGACTTTGTAAATCGATTTCGGAACGAAGTTTCCCCGTACATTCTTGCCAATCAACGCTACCGAAGATACGGCTGCATGTGTTTACTCATATATCCATGCAGCATCACGACGGCTTCATACCAATCCCTTCGCCATAATTTGCTTAGCAAATGAATCGATTAGAGCGTAGGAACAGTCGTCCATTTGTGGGCGGGCGGGCGAGGAAGGCGTTTGGGACGGAATGTTGTTGCTCCATGGCGCTTCGGGTACTCCTTCGAAAATGCCACACGGCGCTCCCTCGCCTCCGGTCACCGCAAAAACTGTTCCTAGTCGATATAAATCTGCATCTGACTAGGCGATTTAATCGTGCCAACTGCCTTTCAAAGAATGAAGCTTTGCCTCGCAAAGTTTTTCGGAACATCGTTTCACTCTCGTTTTTTCGCCATTTCCTATTACAGAGTACACACTAGTATTCCACACAAAGTTTCCGGATTACGTGCCGACTGCCTTTAAATTTAGGATAAACCAATCTTCTTTAGCCTTTTAACAATACATTAACACGAGAAATGAATCGCGTCGTAAAGAGTTCCCAAGAACCCATTCTACTCGTCTTCCGCCCTTACCCTACACTCAATATCCTAACGCAGGGCACAGCATCGCCGGGAGAATCCTAAAGAATCAGATCATTTTTTAGTAGGTGAGAAGAAGGGTCGTATCTAGCCTCGAGAGAGCTCTTTCTGAGCCGAAGAGGATTTTCTCAATTTGGTGATTTTTTTTGTACGCGTTATATACCGCGCCCTCTGCTGGGAGCGCCTGTCGAAAAAAACGGGGGAAATTTCTGGAGTTTCGGTAGGGAACAGTAGTAATTTGGTAGAGTGGTAGATTGTGAGGAAGAGCGGTTCAATTTGAGGAGGGAGGGGGCGGTGTGGTCGCATTCTTATCGCCATTTCACCCGTCCCAATGCTGTACCGTTACGTAGTCTCAAATCTGTGAACCGGATCTGACCATGAGAAGATCTGTGAATTCAAGGTGTCCTACGTAGAGGTTGTTGAGAGAAGTGCGTGGAGGTGACTGCAAGACAGCGGAAGATTCGTTTGGATGATCATAGACAAAACGGGCAACCCGGCACTTATACTAGCAAGGCTCTTTTTGTGGCTCGCTTTCAGACTCCACCACGACAGCGTTCCGGTCGCGCGTGCGACGCGATCAGTCGCATAACCGACACCGTAACCTCCCACTAAGCCGAAATGATGCGATATCG